CCTCTATTTTCATAGCAAGCAGAGCACCTAACCAACCTGCTCTCCCCAAAGTATGTAGCTCAGACCTGGTTAGTCCTTGGATGACAGGCTAGACCAGGAGGTAAATAAATATCTACCTACCTACCTACCTACCGTACTTACCTATTTATTTACCTATGTCCTGGAAGAAGACAGTGGTAAACCAGTTTAATAGTGTTGTCCATAAAACTGTATAACCATCACCAGGATTTCATTTGGACTAGAGAAATCCTCTATCTTACTTTTTATCAATCACATTTCTTTTTTTCAGGACCTTCTTCCTAACCAATATGCTTTCAGAGTCTTTTTGAATCACCACAGATTCAAATGGGCATTTAGACCCTGATTGCTTTATAACAGACTTTTACTGAACCACAAAAAGGCCAGACCCCTAACATTTCCTGGAAATTTTGACAATTTCTACTTTGGCACAAAGTGGGAAATTGCAAGACTCTTGTTGCTACGCAGCTAAGACCGAATACAGGTAGAAACAGAACTCAGGGAAAATATAAAAACTTCTCTACCCAGCCATTTCTTAGCATATTTTTTCCCCTGAAATCAAGCTAGTTTAAAGATCTGCCCAGGTAGATACTATCGCAATTCAAAAAGTAGGACAGGAACAAGATTTCAGGAATTCTTGAATAATTAATAACTAATAGTGCAATTAAACAATAAGCCCAAAAGCCTATATAACCACAGTCTGAGACTTTTATAGTTGCATATCATATGCAGATAAAAAGCTCATGTCTACCACTATCCTCTGGGAAAAGATGATTATCAATAATTGAGCAGCATTCTTCCATCAATATTTTTTTTCTGATTTTGCATAGCCTCACTGGTTCAGAATTTTTTACTGGCATTTCAATTCAACTCTTCTCCCTCTTCTCTTTTGATTTCTTGGAGGGAGGGTAAGCTTCTCTGCATATTCATCAGAAATTAATAAAATATTTAAACATGCATGTTTTTTTCCTTTGGAAAGACAATTCAGTTGTCAAATAAATAGAATTAACTTGGGTCATGTTACTCAACAAAACATCCAGGACTGTAATACAGGTTGTTGCAGCTCCATGACAGAAACAGCAAAAATTGGAAGTATTTTATGGGACAAGGAGAGGGAGTTCACACAACATGAAAGCTATCATGTGGCTTGCTTCTGGCTTCATGCGCTGTGTAAACAAGTGGAGGCAATGAATAAACCATGGTGTTTTTCATGAATACACCACGGTGTGTTTCAGAAGAGCAAAACCCAACTTCACCCACTGCTTGTTTCTGGGACCTATATTTTGTTTGTGGTTTCTTAACTCTGTTTTGTTCCCCATCCAAACCTTTCATCACAGTTGGAAGCATGAACAGCTTTAAAAGAAAGGGAGGGAAGAACAACTCCTGATCAATCTAGACTTCTTTTGTTTGCTCCCCTGGCAATTTCTGACATACCCAACGCATCTTGGTTGGAAGCCAATTTGTGAGCAAGGGGTTAGGGTGAGGATGCGCCAACACAATCATCATCGCTCAGCAGGAGAGGAAGGGTGTCAAATGATAACAAGGGGGCACCTTGAAGTCTGAAAGTGAAGCCATGAGCTCATCCAGCTCTCTGGTTGCTGAAGAGGCAGATATGCGGGTCTGTTGCTGGCTGGAGGTGAACCGCTGGGGATTATTCATCTCTCCCTGATTCACAGTGATAGCTGGTCTAATGAAAGAAAACAAGAGAGAACCATTCACTTGCTATCTGCTTCCAGGAACAGAGAAAAAGACGTCTTCCTTGTCCTCCATCCCAACCTCCTGTGGTTTATCTGTATCGTCTTGCCTGAGTAGAACCTGCAGTTCAGATTGCCGACACCCACCACACAGAAACAATTCAAAGAAAGAGGAATGTATGGACCCACCAGTCCCATTTTCAGCTTTGAAACCAGACTGTTTTTGTTCTGACACACGGTGACAGGCTGTGACGTAGTTGCAAAGCACTTAGAGGACAAAGTCATATAGGTTGACTTTAAGCCCATTTGGGATAGTTGTCTCTATGAAAAAATCTTGAATTTTCTAGCTTTGTTTCATTGGATCTCTCCCCTTCTCAGTCGCCAAAATCAGACAGCTTTCAGCCTGTTCCTTTTGTCTGAATCAACTAATGTTCTTGCTTACTCTTTGTTACTTATGTTGCTGATGGCCACGTTCTTCCATCTTCCACTTCCTCTCGCAACTCTATTTCTTTCATCCTGAATTCCGCTCACTGGAACAATCGTCACTTTGGTTTCCTCACTAGCCCCAGCTCACTTCCAGTTTGATGTCTCTCTAAAACCCAAATTACACCCTTCATCCTCCAGCTGACTTGTATTCCTTTTGCTCTGCTTTTCATTATATCTTTCTTCCTCTTGGCAAAATCTGTGGATGCCCAGCCACGACCCATAGCTTCTGCCTGTCCTCTATTCTTAAGCAAGCAGCCCTCAGCTTTGAAGAAGCAGAAATGAGAGCCGTGCAGCCCTGCACATTGGATTCCAGCCAAATGCTTTGGAGCAGGCCAGGATCATGAATATAGCCCGGGGCTGCAACTCTTTAAAGTAGCTGCATCTTCGCCTGGGATTACATGCACCTGCAAAAAGCAGCTATACAATCCCAAGAAAAGGTCATCTCTGATTTAAGGAGTGGCCAATAAATGCTCTGTTTCCCCCCAGCACGGTCCAAAGAATATTTTTGGGACCAAATCCAAAACACCGCACAGCCTTAACAGAACTTGCTGACATTGCACCTTCTAAGGGGAGACACTCGGTGGCTACTCACACTGGACTGGGCACGGAGCTCTCTAGTTCGTCTAGAAGGCTCTCCACACTGGGGCACACCTCTTCAATCCCTGGCCCTCCGTTCCACTTGGGCTTGTCTTTCACTGGAGCTGTCGGCTGTGCATTCAAAGAGGTAGTGTTCTCCAAAAGGGTGTAGTGAGACCCGGCCCCACCAGGCCGCGAGGGGCTTCCAGGAGTTTCATCTTGCAAGCAAAGGAACACAGACAGGACTTGGAAGCATGTTTCCCATCAAAAGAGCAGAAAGATTAAAAACACAGTGATCTAAAAGCCTTCTTCTTCCTAATCAAAGCAAGGCATGTTTTCCAGGTCCTAGATTTCTATTCCTTGCTCCCTTCCTCCTCATCACATTCTCCTGGGCAGCTTCCAGCAGCTGCAACAGACATCCCACACTCAGGCATTGCATTTCCACTGAGACAACAGGTGCATACCAGACAGGCAGCTGTTGTCAGCCCTCCGAGGTAGATCAGACTAGGAAACCAAAGTCACAAAGCTAATGCTACTTTTATTATAAGGTTATAGTAACAGAATCTTGCAAGTCTGAATGTGCTTCCTCCCTCCCTCCCTCCCTCCCTCCATCTTCTTAAGAACTAGGGAGGGTCAAGCCTGAGACACTTTCTCAAATTACATCTCTGCCCGACTCAAATTTCTTTTATCTAACTGTTGTCTTGGTTGCAGCTCTTCCTCCTGTTCCTCAAGGTTATTCCTTCTGCTCATTATAGCAGTTTCAGGATCAGGGCCATGCCCTCTCTCTCCTCCTCCCTCCCTCTCCTCCCCAATTGTATTATCCTGGCCCTAGAGCCCAGCTCCTCATACCTGTGGGACTGCCAGGTGGGGGATTGTGCTGGACAGCATTCAATTCCAGGAGGAGACGGTCCAGTTCTGACAGGTTATTGCCTAAGGAGGAACTCATCAAGGTAGGAGATGGTTCTGCAGACTTCTGCTTGTTGGGGAAACTGGAGTTCAGAGGATAAATGCAGAGTCATTTTGAGATGACTCCTAACCACCAATGCTCTGACCAAACAGGTTCATTGCATTCCTTCCTTTTTTTTCTTTCATGTACCACAGTTCTATCCATCAGGAGGCCTTAACCTCAATGGTTTGTTGGCATCACACATGTTGTTTGTTTTTTAAGTAAGAACAACAAGAGTTATGCATGTGGGGAAAGATGGTGAATGCATGGTGATAATACAGGAAGTTGCCTTATGTTGGTTTGGTTGCATGTTGCAATAAACTGTGGTTTGTTTACCCAGGACAGTTGGCTGGTTGCTTAGAACATGCTAACTCAAATCTAAACAAGCCATCTTGTGGCTTGATGTGAGTTCAAACGCAGCCACTGAATCAATCTCTCTCATTCAGTATGAGGGGCATTTCCCAACCCCATCTGAACCTCAGTGGTGAAGTAGCTAGATAATATAGGTGTAATAAAGGTGGGGGAAATAGAATACCTGTAGACGTGTTCTTCGTCGCTTGCACGTGAAGGAGAGATGGTACACTCTCTGGACACAGAGGCACTGGAACTATACATAGGAGACTGGAGCTGTGGCTATAAAAAATGAATGGGATATTTTATTTAAATATGTTAGGACCATTGGCAGCATTAGCCAAAATTTCTACTAGACGACCAAACTTACCCTGCACTAAAAAAGACTGTGGTAGCTTTAATGCTATTATTTTTCTTAACACAGTGATTAAACTTGACACAAAGGTCAAGTTATATAGGTCAACCTTACTGTCCCTACTATGAATCAGATCTAGGAGGCACCACTTACTCATTTAAAGTTATCACATTAAAAGATAATGTTTCTTTTGATTCCTGCCTTCATGAATATAGCCACATCATTTTCTTCTACAATGAAAAAAGGTTTGCCACTGCCTTTTTCGAAGATGTTTTTGTGATTCCCAGTCTACCCTACAGCCTTGGTCCCTCATCCAAGTACTAACCTAGGCCTGACCCAACTCAGCCGTTTAAGACCAACCAACAGAGTCTATGAGTGGCCGCCCACCCAGGTTTTTTAAAGTTAATGAGATTATAACAAAGGAGAAATTCCTAGCTAACAGCTTACACTCCCAGACCAATCCACGTATTCTGCAAAATTTCCCAGCACTTTTTAAAATGAAAAGCAGCCCATTCACTTCATTGCTTCTGTTTCTCCATCCAACCCAACACCCAAAGTGGGGCTTTTTCAATTCCCAACTCATTCTAACTAATGTAGACTTTCTCACCTCCGTTGAGAAGAAACAACTTGGTTCGGTTTTGGATGAAATTGCTCAATACAACTTCATTGAAACTTTTGCACCTAAGCCTGTTTTGATTTCACAATCTGGTTAATTTAAAAATGTTCCAGAGGACTGGGAAAACAAAAACAATGCTGTTGTGGAAGAGAACCAAAGACCCATTGGCTGACTCAGGCCACTGGTTCACAAAGCCTCACATCTCCAATGGTTAGAGAACTAACCAGTCTCTAGAGCAGTGATGGCGAATCTATGACACACGTGTCAAAGGTGATACGTCATGACGTTTTGGGTGACACCGGCATTCACCAACCCCTGACAACAACCCTGTTTGAGTTACCAAAGAAACTGAGTGTGTTTTATTCATATTTCATTTTTGTAATTATTTGATGTTTCTTTATATAATACATAGCATACGCATGATGGGACTGTACTTTTTTAAAATAAATGAATATGTAAAGAATTGTTTCTCTTTTGTTCAAGGGGAGGTGCATGTGACACACCAGCAGAGTCAAGTTAGGTGTTTTCTGAATTTTTGACACTCGGAGCCCAAAAGGTTCGCCATCACATTATTTGTAATTTAATCGGGGGGGATTTATATTTTTATTGCTTTTTAATGTCTTGGTTTTTAATTGTAAGCTGCCCAGAGTCATCCTCTGGGGAGATGGGCGGCATATAAATTTAATAATAAATAAATGAATAAATAAAAATAAAAAATAAATCACTGCTCTAGAGCTAGTGATATGATCATCACATTGTAAGACAAAACGACTATTTACACAGCAGTGCCCGGGGGGGGCTGGGGGAGTGATGAAAGCAGCATTCTGCCAACATGGGTGCAATCTCCCCCGTTTGCACATGTTCCTGACACCACACATATGCACCCAAGAGGCAGAGCTGGTATTGCAACAACACATTTTGTCAAAAGCATTGGATTTTGCAGATATTTCTGTGGTGACATTCTGTTTTTTTAAGATCCAGCCCCTCTCACAGCCTTCTCATATGGAGAAGCCCAGATCATTGTATGCATAAAGCTGGAAAAGCAATGAAATACCAACAGTGGAAGATTGGATTATAAAAGTAATTGAACCTGCAGAAATGGCGAAGCGGACCAGTTTGGTCAGAGAAAAAAACCAATACTTTTCTGAAAGACTGGAAACCTTATACTGTATGGATTTTGTTTTGAAAGAAGAAAAAATCGAATTGATGACTTGGGGATTAAAAAGGACAAGAGGTTGGGGTAAAGTCTAAGATGATAATTACTCAATAGAAAGAAGGGCGGAAGACATGATTGTATGGGGGTTTTTTTGTTTTTCTTCTTTCTTTTTTCTCTATTTCTTATTTTCTATCTTTGTTCTTGTTTTCTATATTTTCACTACACTGAAACGTTCTAATGAAAATATGTTTGAAAAAAAGAGAGAGAGAGAGAAAGAGAAGCCCAGATAATTATGAGAATTGGCTTCTACTTAGTCGTCATGCCTGACCAAAATTTTGGAATGTGAAACAAACAGGATACAGAGCAATGACCAACTGTTGATCCCTACGATTGTCCTCCGCTCCTTTCCGGAAACGCGATTCATTCTTCCCTTCCTTTTTTTTGTGGTTTGTATTCCTAAAGCTCAGAGGTGTATGTTCTACCTAGGCACACTTCACTCTCTCCATAATGTGTGATGAATATCTTCCTCGTTCTATTGCGCCATCAGACCGAACTCGGAGAAAGAGGCCAGGAGGGACTATTTTCCAAGGGTGTGGCACTTGAGGTTTATTTTCACAGGCCAGGAAAAAAAAAAACACAAAAGACAGACTTCTCAACTGCCAGCTAAAGTTTGAACACGACTGTGCTTGATCAGGAAATCCTTAATGTCCGTGGAGAGAGGAGGCCAACATTTAAATCCCCACCGGATATCGAACACAATGAGCTGCTCACCGGTCAACGCAGCTGCATTTCAACAAGCTATAGCCAAAGCAGGCTTCTTCCAACTAAGCCAAGGAACAGGCCGGTCATTAACTACATTTCCAGCTGCCTGGGGCAATCCTAGAATCACAGAATGGAAGAGTTGGAAAAGTTCTTGGAAATCCCTCTGCTGATCTCCTGCCCATTGCAGGAATCATAAGGTGGGTAATGTTCAAATTTCCTGGAGCTTTGTTGATTCATCATCATTAAACCTGCCAGTTTTCAAACAAGACTGGATCTAGAAGCCAACTTCCAACCTTGGTTTTCATGACTGGCTGTTAAAGGAGCTACAGGCCAGGAGTCCTCATAGTAGGAAAGTCCTAGTAAGACTTTCCGTCTGGTCAACCTCCAATTTAGTTTGGCTGAAGGAGAAGCCAAGCCAATGCAATCAGTAATATGAACCAACATCTCCTCTGTGAGCAATAATGAAGCCTTTTATGCAAAACAGCCACGAAGGAATCACTGAGTTAACAACATTATTGTAACGATGTTATAGAAGATATGCTTTTCAGGGGACTTATGAATAGTTTTATACAGAGTTCTGAAATTCATTAGGTTTACATCTATGTGGAAGAGGGAAAAGGGGGTATCTGATTTGTTACTGGTGGGTTTGTTTTTACCCTGACTGCAGATTACACATCTGTTGTTGCCTTTTTTGTTTTTTATGCAGTTTTAATTATCGTTAGCCGCCCACAGTCATGAACTTGAGATGGGCAGCCATATAAATCGAGGTAATCAATCAATAAATATTGCAAATAAATAAGTACAGGTTGCAAATTAAGTCCAATACATTTCCTCTAGAAATGCACAGTTTGCCATGAAGTACACATATATCTTTTTGTTCCCTCCCCATCCCCTTCTTTGCTTTTATGCCTTTTCGCTTTCGACCATTTTTTAAAAGCCACTGGTGATACAGCGTGGGGGAACCAAAGCAACAGGGCCGAGGAGGCTATTTCAGCCTCATCTACTTCTCTTCCTTGTGGCCATTTTTAGAGAAAGATGGCTCTACTGTCTGTCAATCACGGCCAGATCAAATTGCACACCGACATGGCACAGAAGGAAGACGCTGTGCTGGGCTCAGGTTAAGTATCAAAGAAGGTGTTTTCTTCTATTTAAGTGGAGAGAAAGGGATAGCTAAACAGCAATTACCTGTGGATGAGGATTTCTGGGAAGGACAGGATACCATTGGTCTAAGGAGATGCTTACAGTCCCGTTCAAGGCCTCAGTAGAAGGAGGAGGCGGCACCGGAGGAGGCCCGGAGACTTCTTGGTAGGTATGATTTCCAGTTGGATAGGAGTAAGAGGTTTCCTCCGACAGGAATACCGGCCTCTTGGAGATGTGGGAGGTAGTGGATTCCAGATCAGCCAGCAAGGCATCTGCATAAAAGCCACGCAAAGAGAGAGGTTTGTTTGATTGACGTCATAAGAGTTACCTTTGCCTCCAGATACCTCCTCCTTAACAATGTTTTCAGTTGAAGCATTCTCAACTGAATGATTTGCACATGTGTCCAGAGGGAGCTCCTGCTTTGTTCCACAATTAAGTCTCCTTTATTTTTAGAAATCAAATAGACCAAAAGAGAAAGCATGTCCAAAAAAAAGTACTCAATGTTGAAAAGGAAAGCTGAGAGGCGTAACAGCTTAGCTCCAACAGCTCTGCTCAAGGAACTGAAACAGGCCAACCCAGCTAAAGTCTGAAAGCAGCTAATTACTAGTTTGGCATCATGAACTCATTCAAAACATGGCCACAAGCCCTGCGTTGGGCAAAACAAAGATCTCTGAATCAGGGAGAAATCTAGGAGGAGATTCAGTCATCAGTACCCAAAGGTTGTCTCTTCCATCTGCTTCCCAGATGCAGAGAGTTAACGTGGGCTCCAGGCTCCATCAGGTAACAGCAATTTCATTCCCTAAACATGCTGGGTCAGATTGCAAATTCCTGAGGGAAGAATTAGTCTCTTCTAAATAATGCAAACACAGTAACCTTCAAAAAGGCACTGACAAGAAGGAAAAGTGGAAGGGCCAAGGATTTTGATCTATAATTGTCCACCCTTCTTCCATAAAATACTAAAATAGCCAGAAGACATTCAGCACCAAGGTTAACCAATTTTGTCCTCAACAGAAAAAGCCAGGCAAATATGGAATATCCCAGACACAGCTGTCGTAATGCAACTCACCTCAACCAACTAACATACTCATCCCCTCCAACCAACACAAACAGGGCTGCGTGTTGAGGGTGCCAGGTTGGAGAAGCTATAACAGATCATGAAGTTTCTTCAAGGGAATGAGGTTTTAGGTGACTTCTGTTAACACAGCTTTGCATTACAAAAGAGGTCAACAGGAGCATGGGAGAAAACACTCTTATTGCACCAGCTACGTTTTCATTTGGAAGACATTTTCAAGCCATACCAACTCTTCTCTTTGACAAAAATTACATTGGAAAGGCAGCATTTACCTAAACATGAAGATGATGCCATTTGAATTAGATTTAGACAAAGAAACAGATTTTATACTGAAAAAGAATCCAAGAAAAAAAAGGAGCTGCTTCAGAAAGCAGCTTTTTTTTTGCTTTTTTTCTTTTCTTTTTTTCTTTTCTTTTTTCCTTTTGGTTTTCTTTTTTTCTTCTTAGATAATCACCAATCTGTTCCAGTGAAACATCTTTTATATACAAATTTGAAAAGAAATTATGAAATAGAGGCAAAGCTAAAATATGTAAAACAGAAACATTTTGAGTTTGCAAATAAACCAGGGAAATGGTTGGCATATAAACTGAGAAGGGAGAAAGAGATGAAATTTATAATGAAGATTCAGGAAGGTGATGTTGCACTTACAGCTGATGCGAGTATTCAGAAATCTTTTCATAATGTCTTTTCAAATTTGGTTTTCTTTTTTTCTTCTTAACATTTATAAATAATAGTGAATAGCACTTAGCATTAAGCATTAAGCCCAAAGATAGAAACCTTTTTTAATATTATAAAATAATTCAATGCATTTTGCAATTGTCCGTCAATGCTATACTCAGCTTTAAGTGTACGATTCAAGCAACCTTGTTTATGAACATTTTAGACATTATCTTTAACATCGATGTAAACTTTTCTCTCATCTTGAAAGGTTTATCTAAATCATCATCATGTTAAGAACGTTTAGTTTAGATTGCGTAAATACCACTGTACACGGCTAATATTTGTATTCTATAATGCAGTGTTCCTTAAAATGTGGTCCTAGGACCAATGGGGGTCCCCAAAGAACCTTTCAGAGGCCCGTGAAATCAAAACTATTTGCCAGCCTATGCTGAAAATGCATTATTTTTATATTATAATGCAAGGAAACGATTACTTGGCAGGTAAGGAAGAATCCAGAACCTTTACACTTTCCAAACAGAACAGCTCGGGTGCAATGCAAAGAACACCAGGAAAGACCCACCTTCATTCAACATAGCCTATATTTATGGCATGACTTGACCTGAGTCAGCTTTCGAAAGAAAAACACAGGGACTTTTAGGTGCACTTGCAGATTACAGCTGGAGAACGCCAAGCCTTTAGCTGCATGTGACCTCTTCTCAATGTGGATTATTATTTCCATATAAGAAACTGCATGTCCCCAGCAAGTACATCACTGCACGTAATAAGCATGCACACATACATGCACACACACACTTTGCTGTGCGGGGCAGGTGGAAGGTCGTCCTTTGGATCACTTTGGATGGCGTACAACCCCTTCCAGATGTGTTGCGGAGAGATTGGCAGAGGAAGCCATGTGTGTGTGGGGGGGCAGCAGGATCCAGGTGGGGGAAAGTCAGTGTAGTTCCCTTTTTTAAAAAAAAAATCAGATGCAATTATTCATTTTTACATTCCACTGGATATCGAGCAGCTGGGCTCAGCTGAGGGTTAATCTCGCTAGGTTAATCATAAAGCTGTTTGCTCAGACTGCATGCATCGTTCACACACACACACACACACACACAAAAGAGCAGGTCTCAACCCTACCATACTTTTCCTCCACTTCCTTTCCTCCCTGCCTGAACAAAT